TAAACAAAAGAAAAGAAGAAAAGAGGGAGATGGCATAAATGACTTATGCAAAATTGATTATTAAGATGAGATTCTTGATATGAAAACTAAATAAAGAAAAGCAATCAACTCAAATGACTCGGTGTCTAAGGCCTAAACAACTGAAGCCATGAGGACTTACAACACAACAAGTATAATACTCAAAGCATAAATTATTTAAATGAATTCAACAACCCATAACAGCCCCTAAAATGTTAAAAAAAAAAAAAAAGTAACTAACAGCAAGAGAAAGTAAGTGAAAAGAGTAGGGAAAAAGCTATCGACCAAATCCTAAGGAGGGGTGGCTAACCCCTCCACTTTTTGCAATTTTAAATCACATGTTTATGCCCCACAACAGCCCAAAAACAGTGGCTAAAAGTGTGTTTAAAGAGCACATAAAGATATACAAAAGCAAGAAATATAAAGCTAGTAAGCAAGACTAAGGAGGGGTAGCTAACCCCTTCACTTTTTGGACTTCTAAACCATTTTTTCCTGACTTTTGAAACTTTGAAAATCAGTGTAAAAACCAAAGAAAAGAGTGCAAAAACAAAGGGTACGAGCTATGGGATAAGGTGCAAGAAAGGGTGTTAAGCGTTTCTATCTTTGGTAGCTTTTCAACCCCAAGTTCCAACACTTGGAATGAATCCAAAGCAGTAGGAAAACACAAGAAAAAGATAGAAAAAAGATTAAAATGAAAGAAAGGAAAAAGGTGACAAGCTAATACCTCTTGAAGATTTGGTTATCAAACTTGATTCCAAACACCCTCAAGTTTATGAAATATGGCTTGAAACTTTAGCCAAAAGCTTCAAGAATAAGCTCTGATGGTGTATGTATTGTGTATATATAGCTAAAGAAGGTTTGAAGGTCAAAGGAAGCAAGGAGGATGGTTTTAGCTCTCAATCTCCCTCAAAGCCCTTAGGAAAATCTTTTAACCTTAAAATCTGAATGCAGGGGGTTTATTTATAGAATTTGAGCCAAAATTGTCGAAAATATCTTCAAAAAACAACTGGTAAATTCCAGCCAATTGTCCTGTTTCTCACCATTGAGACCCAGTCGGGCCCCAAAACACACGGTCGGGCCTAAAAAGCAAGTCTGGAAGTTTTCATTGAGACTCGGCTGGGTCCAAAAATCTACATTTTAGGCCCAACTTCAAACGGACATATCTCCCTCATTCAGATCCGGTTTTAGGTGATTCTTGAGTCTAAATTGAAGCCTCGAAAGTCTAATTTCCAATGGTGGTGACCTCACATATAAATTCTAAGTGTGAAAAGAGATATGCCTAATTTAGTGAAGGCTACTCATTCTTTCTCAACGATTTGATGCTCAATTTCTTCCCCAACTAGTTTTCTTCTATCCCCTCATATTTCCTTCAACTCTAAACCTATGAATAAGATGTTTTTAAATATTTTCAAGGAATTCACCTCCCTTCCATGTATCTCCACTTTGTCCTTACTCGGTTTACCAAAAAGTACAATATTTTAAACGAAATGCGAGTCTCGGAACATCGTAAAAATATTTGAAAAAATATTCTAAAATAGAGGGTTTTAAGGTCTAAAATAGTTTGGCCAAAATGGGGTGTAAGGTTTGGGATTAGAGCTTGAATCCAAATTTCTTCGCTGAGAATTCAAAAGATTAGACAGTATAATTTTCATCATCGGCTGTTCAGAATAAAATCCCCAAGTCTTAAGGGTGGTCAAAAATGGTGTCTACAGGTATACATATACATATATACCTATACCTCTTCCCTATTCGTGTCTCTCTCTCCCTCCTTTATCTTCTTTGAATGTCGCGTCTGGTACGCGATTTCAACAATCACGGCGTCTGAACAATTTTTATTTATTTCGAGGACTTTTAATGAAATTGACAATTTTTCTCAAGAATTATTCCATTTTTGCTAAATCAATGAGATTTGGTTATCAAACTTTTCAGTGACAATTTTCTAGTGAAGCTTCGGCGAAGTGAAATTTCATAGTTTATATGAGTTGTAACGTATGAAAAAAAAAAACTAAGTAAAAGAAATTAGAAACTCAGAGAAATTTGTCTGATATACTACACTTAAATCTCATTGATTTAGCATAGTGAAATTTCACCTATGGCGATGCCCAACAATCTCTCCATGCCTCTCTGTTGAATTGTATTTTTAGTGTATTAGAAAAGTAAAATTTTGCTCGCTAAAGTGAGTGAATTGATTAGGGAAATTTATTTGACTTGGACTAAAAGTCAATAAAATTTCACTAGCTTTCATTGAACTTTAGTTCAAGTTAAAAAATAAAAAATAAAAAAATTCACTAACCAAAACTAGTGAAATTGTATATAGTAAGTGAAATTTCACTAGCTTTCATTGAACTTTATTTAAAGTAAAAAAAAGAATTCACTAACCAAAACTAGTAAAATTGTATATGGTAAATGAAATTTCACTAACTGTGGTCAAAGAAATTTCAATGATCAAAACCAACAAAATTGTACAACATTAGAGGAACTTCATTGAGAGATGGGGAAATAGTGATAAGAGAAAACAAAGACAAATAAAATAATTCGCAACCATGAACACATATTATTCAATTCTTAAAAAGCAAATATGTCTCACCACAAAGAAAATAAATAATCAAAATATTTTAGACAACATGTATATACATATTTATGTATATTTCTATAAAAACATTGAACCATGAATATCAATAGCTGTGAACGATAAATGACAATCCAGATTTAGGTGAGATCAGTGAATGAGATTAAAGTGATAATACGCTACATCTATCATTGTAATACACTATCTTTGATGCAAAACTATGATACCTTCAGTGCTATTAGACATAGTAAAAGCGGCACCAGACGTAGAAAGGTAGAGAAGAGAAATGAAGAAGGAGATAGAGAAAGAAATGAGATGGCAATAAATTCAAGAACTCTAGGGCTTTTATGGTTACAAGGTCATTTTGGATCATTTATGTTTTTTCTTTCTTATTTTTTTTTAAGAAATCCTAAGGATTTTTATTAGCCGCAAACTTTTAATATCCTAAAATTCTAACACAAATATATAGAGGAATGTATTTAGATTTTTTCGTAAAAGTTTTACACCAATTGAGTCTAATTGGTGTCGGGGAATAATTCAAAAGTCAACCAAAAAAAAGACCCTCAAGTCTATTTTTGAATCTTTTGGGCCAAAAGAACACAATTTGTCCAAAATGACATCTATCTATATTTTGAAATCAACCTATCTGTTGAAATCATTCTATCTCTCTATATTTTGAAATTTATCAAACTAACTATTTATTGGAATGTGACCCATGTCACTTATTCAACGACCTATCTGTTGAAATATGATGCAAGTCACTTATTCAACACCGCATCCATTAAATATCACACATTTCTCTATCTTATCACCACCATCTATTGTCGCTGACCACTGACAACTTTTCCAGCGTATCTTACCTTGGATCTAATCCTTATACCTCCTTAGAATATACTCTTTTTTTTTTAATCAATTTTCTCTAAGAAAAACTCGTCCCAACACTTTCACCACAAAAAGAAATTAAAAAAAAAATGAAAAGTAATTCTATTACCAAGATAGTCTTGACTTTTGCTACAATATATATATTTTTTTCATCAAATGCAAAAGTTCCCATTTTTTCATATGATTTTTTTGACTATGTTTCAATAAAAATAAAAAAAAATTGGAATTGAACTAAAATTACTTTCATATAATAATAAAAAATGGTTTTTTACAATTATCTATTCATTTTTTAGTCTTCTTAATCCAACCACATAAAATAAAAGATTTAACTTTTTTTCAGTTACTTTATTCTCTTTTTTCTATACATCTAAAATACAAATGGTAAATTACAAATTCACTTATTGAGTTTTACTTAAAATACAGATTACTCTTTTCGGTTTGGAAATTTATAAATAGAATTTTTTATTTAATAAAATTAACTAAAAATAAGATTTCCAATTACTCTCTTATAAAATGATAAAATTATCTGAAATATTAATTAAAATAAATTTCTGACATTATTAAAATTGTTAATTGATTTGATAGTTTGTTAATAAAGGGGATATTTGTTATGAAATTAGAAATTTCAAGGGGCATGATGTAATTTTCAAAATTACATGAGATAGATTGTATTTTAAGCGAACATCAGGAGTGTATTTGTAATTTATCCTAATATTAAAAGATGATTTGGTTTGTTCACACAAAATTGTATATAAAAGCTGTTTATTATTATTAAGGCAAATTACACTTTTCTTGAGATTTTAATGAAATACAATAAATTCTATAATTTTGGTATAATTACATAGACCTTCCTTTTGGTAAAAACTAAATGGATCAAAATTAATATAGATTGTGTAAAGACACGAGGCTGAAGACAAGGTATTGGGTACTCTTGGAGTACGATCACGTCGTGCTCTATGGTATTATAATTAGTAGAGAAGATGCTATTTATGATTTTGTATTGAGTGATTGAAGAAGTATGATGAATGATGATTAGTGAAGAAGAATGGAACTAATATAGCGCTATGTTTATATTTTTATGAAATTAAAGTGTTATATATATTTTTTTGTTATTTAATTATGTGAATCCGTGGTCCTAAACCGATCCAATCCGTATTTAAATGGATTGGTTCGGATTGGTTCCATGATTTAAACGGATTGGATTGGTTCCAATTTTTTAGGAACCGTAAATAACGGATTGGTCCTGGTTTTATCCCAATCCGGTCCAATCCGGACCATGCTCACCCCTATCAAAGGGGGTGGGGGAAAAGGGGATGAATCATTACTCATAATTATATTGACATTCTTTGTGATAAGATTGAAAATATAAAAATACATCACGTAAAATATATATTTTAATATAAATATTCAATTAACGAATTTTTTTGATAAAAAGAGAGCTCATCAAAATCTTATAAGAAATTATGTAATTATGCTTATGGAATTTACTGATTTACCTCTATCCACTCCACTTGCTCACTCTCCCTGGGATATATAGTGTGATTGGTGAGAAGTGGATAGTGTGTGTTTGAGAGAGATCGGAGATGGAGACCAAACCGACAGAAATCAGCAGCTCAAAGATGTATGGAGGGTACAACAAGAGATACAAGCATTACAGCCCAACCCTAGGCTGTTCCATGAATTTCCACATTTACTTCCCTCCTCCTCCTTCCAATTCCCCCAAATTCCCTGTAAGTCCTCTCTCTCTCTCTCTCGCTCTCTCAATAACAACCCTTTTCTCATTTCCTCTCAAAACTGAACCCAACAATCAAAGTAATATGTCATAAATGTATATTTGTATCATTTTTGTTTAGGGTTTGTTGTAATTTTACAATAAATGTCGGGTTTATGATAGCATATACTTGTAATCAACCACTGATCTTACAAAGTTTTTGCCTTTATTCATCAAATTGTTAATGCTTGTCCTCTACACATCAATGTGCGAAATGGGTTTGGATGATTTTCATACCTCGTTTTGCACTTCATTTGCAGTGAGGATTGTTGTTTTATATGATCTTAATTCTATAATATGTTGAGATTTTTGGGGAATTTGCAATATAAGTTGTTGAGATTATTGGGGCATTTGCAATATAAGTTGTTGTGATTACAAATTCTTTCAGCTATCTTCAATCATAGTCTCGTTTTCTTTTCTATTTTCAATTTACTCAATTAATTCTGTTTGATTTCTATTTTTATTAGTTTAGTTTTTATTTTTCAATTTCTGATGTAAAACACCACTCTTGACCATGTGTTCTCTCCAATGAATTATGGAACTACAAGAATTTTGTAATTGCATTTTAATCAAAAAAATTTTGAAGACTCTAGTTGTTGCTCTTTTTTAAATATTTAAGTTTAGTTGTTCACTGATTTATTCATCAAATATTGTACTCCTACATACTGAATAACATTGGTGCTGAATTCATTAATTTGTAAACTACAAACCAATTATATTGGTCTCCTTTCATTACTAAGCAGGTACTCTATTGGCTCTCTGGCCTTACTTGCACAGATGAGAATTTTATAGCTAAGTCTGGTGCCCAACGTATTGCTTCGAGTGAGGGTATCGCTCTGGTTGCACCAGATACATCTCCAAGTAAGTTGCAATTCTAGTTACCGGTCGAAGCAAGCATATTTTAAGTTCTCTTAATTTGCATGGTAGATGTCCTAGCAGCTTCCTGCTTTCTAGTTACTGTTGGAAGCTGCTCGTTATATTTTACCGGGATCTTTTATATGATTACTAGTTACTATTGTTTCCTTGTTCATGATCTATTGGATAAACTTAATGAGAAATTGCACAGTTAAGTTTTTGTATCATTTTCTGGTATCTTAACATTATTTTACTACATGAGCTTTGGTGTAGGAGGAGAATGCCGGGGTAGTAATTTAGATTCTGTAATAAATATGATGAGGCATACAGCATTTCAATATTCAGAGGATACCCAATGGGCTATGAAACCTGAGCATGGTGATTGGATGTCTTAAATTTGTTTAATGAAGGCTAAAAGTACTGTCACTTAAAATGTGAGGGTTGGTGAATAATCTGATGCTAAGTTGGAGGGAGAAAGTAGTGGCAGCACGTGAATATAATCAATGATAAATTGATTATCTCATTTTTTTTTATAAACTTGAACTGTGGGCTATGAAGCACGTGTACATGTACTAATATGAGTAAGTTGATACGGTAGAATCTAAAACAAGTATGGTATGAGTACGGCTTGTTACATTTGTAAAAAGATGTTTATTTTTAATTGGAAGTAATTCAAAAATTAGTTAAATGGATTAGTTGTTTGAGATCCAACCTACAATTCATATTTTAATGCCAAATGTAAGGTGTAAACCAAAATTAAATGTCACTATGTTGAATAACTTACAAACCAAAGGTTAATTTTAAAATCATGCTAAGCATGAAAAAAAAAAAAAGAAAAAAAAAAAAGGGTGCAATGAAACTAACTTCACTTTTGTATAGAAAAAAATACAGGTGCGGCTTGGGTATATACTTGGTACTTTTGGGGTACGACAAAAATTATGAAGAAAAAAATTGGTTCATGTACCCGGTACATATGTAGAAGTATGCAAAGCAGCAGTACCCGGTAATCACTTGATACGAGTATGGCATGTTTGTCGAAGCATCCATGCTTCATAAACTGTAGGATTTGATGACTAACATAGAAGACTAGGATTTGGCATGTTAGACTACAATTAATAAATAAGGACCAGCCAGTCATTAATGATGGATTGATGATGATATTGTAAGATGGCATATAGCATTGTTGAGTATGTTACTTTGACTACAGCTTGAGAAATCCTTTTCCTATTCACCTTTATCTGAGTTGGTATTCATGGTATGATCGCATAGGTCAGAGTGGTCAGTTCTTTTCCTTCTATTTTATTCTTTTGACTCTATGGAAGCTTTCTCTTTTGGGCTTCTTCTTTTTTCTTCGCATTTGCTGACTATGTCCCCTCAACACTCTATCTAATGGAACTTCTATTTATTTATCAAAGAAGAAAAAAGTATAGTTAAAAAAGGATAAAAAATTCACTTCTCTTGAAAAGTGAACACTCCGATTTTATCATATGACCATGATGTATATCATACTTTTCTAAGTGCCTTTGGATGCTGAGTTCTGGATATACTAAATATTTGTCAAAATTTATTTGTATTTCCCCCCATATAATTTGTAAATCAAATATTTATCAGCTTTGAAAGATTACATCTATTTAGTGTGCAAATGACTGTGTCATGTGTCAACATGGTGAAAAGGTTTATATAGTCATTACACATGATGCTATATTGCAGTCAAACTGTTATGCATTGGCTTCAAAACAATGGAGAAATGCATCACATCCTAAGAAGCACGGACACTGCTAAGAAAGTGACGTATCCGTGTCGTGTCCTTGTCGGATACCTATACTCTTTGGACACTCTTTGGACACGTGTCCGACACTCTTCAAAACGTGTCCTATTTTAAAATTTTTTTAAAGACCCGTACACTCTTTAGGCATTTGGAGGACACACGTGTCCATCGGTTAAACAAATGTAAAACTAATTATAAGATTGAACAAAACAACTCAAGATACAATAATAAAACAAAAATCATATAAATTTATAGAAATTAATGTCATATTGCATTTTTTATTATCTTTGAATGATATATTCATATATATAACATATAATAAATATATAAAGTTATATATTTCATGTGTGTCCTCCACGTGTGGTATCTTGCATTTTTTTAAAATTAACGTGTCGGTTTGTCCGTGTAGTATTCATATCGTGTCCCGTGTCCATGTCCGTGCTTCTTAGATCACATCATTCTTATATTATGCATGAGCATGAGTATTCTGCGTTTTAAATTTCCTAATGACCATCTTGTCTTCCTAAAATTTTTGGAATGCTTTGTTGAGCTCAATTTATCTCAATATCATTATATAAAGTGGTTGTGGCTGATACTTGGTTTACATTACCTAATCGTGGGAACCATGTAATATGTAACAAATTTAGTAGGCACTTATTAAAAAGCAAACAAACTGTCTATCCCACAAATTTCTTTTTTGGAAAAACTATTCAGACTTGTTAAACTAATTTATGTTCCATGTTGAGCTTCTCACTGGAAGGTTGGCAAGGTTAGCATTCTTCATTTAGGATTTATGAACTGAACAAGCCATGTTGTATGGAAAACTTTCTAGTGTTTTGCCGCAGTAAGATTTTGGTGACCACGTAAAATCAATTTTTGCGGTCAGTCATTTGATCAATATAGCAAAACCACTATATGGAGTTTTTAGTCTCTTGTTATTTTGGAAAAGTAAATCAAAGGAATAAGATGGTGATTTTGGGGTAAATCATTTAGAAACTTGCTATGAAATTTCGATGGACAAATGTACGACAGTCAATAGGCATGGAAGCATATTTTGTTCAATTGGTAACCAATCTCTCATTTCTCCTTGCATCAACATTGACTTTTGCTGCTTCATATTGTCTTGGATATCATTATATAGATATAATTTTCCTTTTTAAATTGCTTTACTGTGGTGGCTGTGGTTCTGGAAGTTGCAGTGCTGACTATCTCTTGCTTGTAATTTTTAATTATAGGAGGCCTGAATGTGGAAGGGGAGGCAGACAACTGGGATTTTGGTGTAGGTATGTACTATGCAACAGGGAACTTTAATATTTTAGTGCCTATGATTGGCCATCATGTGTTGGGTTTGATCCCAGTAAAATTTTGAATAAGTTATTGTGTTAGTAATTTAAGACCCATGAGAGGTTCATCACATGTTTGACTTGTGATCACATCCACACAGCCCCCACTTTCATGCAAGAGAAGATAACAATTATTTTGTTTACTTGCTAAATAAGGTGTTACAATCTTGCTATTGTTGCATGCATATCTTTTTATAAATCCTCAAGTTTATGGAAATGTTGCTTTCTATCTTACTCCCTCCATCCCAAATTGTTTGTCTATTTTTGGCATTTGTGCCCTTTAATCGGGTCAATAACTAATATTTTTTTTAAAAAAATTAAATTTTTTCTCCCACAAATTAAATATCTCAATTAGTTCTTGTAGGTAAAGTCTTCAAAATTGTTGAGAAGAGAATAAATTTAAAAATATAGATGAGTTTTTGGGATGTCTGGAATAGTGAAATAGACAAACAATTTGGACGGAAGGAACATAAAGTCCAAGAAATCATGACTATATAGGAGATGTATACCCTTTGCACTCATTACACGTAACAATACACAAATGAATTTAAATGATGTACTAATGCCTTTTTCATTTTGTTTCCAATGAGATCTATAAATTAGCGTAGTAGTTTAATAAAAGGCAAGATTGTTAAGGGCTATTTTTGTTACAGACAAATGACATCTATAAATGGATGTTAAGCCTGTTATTGAGTATGAATGTTAGGTTTAATAATAAGATTATGCGATAGTAAAGTGGCCTCTTTTCACTTACTATTTTTCTAGAGTTCAGTTTTTCTCCTTTGGAACCAGCTAACTTTCTTTGCATGTTGAAGCTATTGTAGAAGAGAACTTTTCACATTAGAGCATCTCCAATGGTGATAGCTATTTTAGTATTGCCAAAGCTAGATAATTTGGCATGCTATAGTAGCAAAATGCCAAATTATAGCAATGGTGATACAACGGTGACATGTCATTTTGGCACAATGCCAAAAAACTTTCCTTTTTTTTAGGTGGTGTTTGGGTTTAGTTTTTTGGGTGATTTTTTTGTTTAATTTTGTCGTTTGTGATTTTTTTAAAAAATTTGAAAAAAAATTATATATTTAATGATCTACACAACTAGACAAATAAAAAATAAAAAATAAAATTGGGAAAAAAAAATTTACATTCTTTTAATTCACTCGCCATTCACATTCTTTACAAAATTGAAGGAAAAAAAAAAAACACTATTTACTTTAAAACATTGAAGACATTCCTACAAAAAAAATACTACCACCATCCATTTACCCAATGGTATTAAAGGTGATAGGGGTGCCAAGGTATCCTAGGGCCTAAGCTCAAGGCGCAAGGCGAGGCGCCCCTTGTACGGAAAAAAAAAAAAAATTTAATATAAGTAAATAATTTAGGGTTTAACATAAACAAAATGAAATGTTAAACATTTAGTGTGTTTTGGAGACTAGGAATTAGGACTAATTTTGCTCCTATCATTGATTTGTGGTTGAATGCTTAATGTATTGGCATCTGTAACACGAGTAGGGATCTTTTATAGCTACACCATATTAGATCGATGGTCAGATTTTAAACAAAACTAATTAAAGCAACAATAAAAAAAGTCCTCAAGACGCAAGCCTTGGGCTAGTCAGGTGCTATCGAAGTTGCCTGGCCTGGAACACTATAAGGCGCAAACCTTGGGCCTGGATAGAACTTTGGCCTAGGCGCGCCTTTAATAACACTGCATTTACCCACCATTTTTGAACACACTTACAATCCTGACCCACCATTCACCTATCCACAATTCACCTATTTACTATCCATTTATCCACCATTCTTGAAGGCATACCTACCATTCTGACCCATCATCCACCTATCCACTATTCTTGAAGAATTACCATTATAAGTCACCATTTATCTATCTGTCATTCTGGAAGACATACTTATAATTTTCACATACCATCCACCTATCATAAATACTTACCATTCTCACACATTATTCACCCACTAACAACCATTTACCATTGAGTAATTTATTCTATAAAATATAATCAATTTTCATATGGCAATTTTTAGTGGAGAATTTGATCGATCTTCATCATCTGATGAAGATATAATGATGATACAATTGTTAACAATGGAGTTTGAAAGAAAACATGCGCAACGAGCAAACCAACAAACCAAACATGTTTTCACAAGTGGTCAATGATATATCAATCGTGATAGGATTAGATGGGACAAAAAAATATATAGATTACTTTATAGAGGATCTTGTCTACCTAGTTAGAGATCTTTCAAAGCGTTTTCAAATGAATCGGTCAATTATTTGTTAGTATCTTAAATGATATTCAATAATATAATGATCATTTCATCCAAAAAAGTGAATGTCACCAATGTTCTTGGATTATTAGATGTACAGAAGATGATTGCTGTATTTCGGATCCTTCAATATGGCGTACCCGTTGATCCTGTGGACGAGTACATGAGAATTGGCAAAAGCATTGCAATTGAGTTCATGAAAACATTTTGCAGAACGATTGTTGCTATTTATGAAGGCGTATATTTAAGATACCTAAATGAGGCAGATGTATTTAGATAATCGCAAGAGGGAGAGCAATGTGGGTTTCTTGGAATGTTACGGAGCTTGGATGTATGCACTGGTGTTGGGAAAATTGTCCAACTGCCCATCATGGTGCTTACACTAGGCATGTGCACAAACTGTCAATTGTACTCGAGACAGTCGCCTCCTATGACTTGTGGATTTGACATGCTTTCTTTGGTTTGCCGGGATCTTTTAACGATATTAATGTTCTTGACAGGTCGTATCTATTTTCCGAACTAACTGAAGGACGTCCCTCTGCTATCAATTATACCATCAACAATCACCAATACAACTTGGGATATTATCTTACTGATGATATCTATCCTTGTTGGGCAACTATTGTCCAAACAATATCTCAACTTCAAGGTTTAAAGAGACAACTATTTGCGATGATGCATTTAATGTCATTTCATTTCAATGAAATTGTCATTAAAAAAAAAAAAATACAAACTTAACCTAATTCTCCGTGACGAGACCACAATTGTTCAATCAGATCATTACGAATTGCGTGATGGGTTTCAATAGATCTAATTTTTTGAGGACAAGCAATAATTTGAGTAAACTCTATGCTTAGGTCGCGTGACACTTGAAATGAGGTGTTAATGGTATTTGTTTGTATTAGTGCTGCATTGCATTGATTTTGCACGGGAATCATGGTCGTATTTGATGATCATATTGTGTAAAATAATGCACAGTTTCATGTATTAGAGATCCTCTTCACTCCAATATCTTGCTGGAACTATAACAATAATGAAACATACTTGGAGCACTCTAAATGCCCTTTCAACATTCTTTTGACACGCCTCCTGCATCCTCGCAAGTAGTTGTATTTTTAAACCTTGATGTTGAGATATTGTTTTGACAATAGTTGCCAACGAGGATAGATACCATCAACAAAATAATATCTCATGTTGTATTGATGAATGTTGGCAGTAGGGGCATGTTTTTCATTTTGTTCAGAAAATAAAAGCGACCTGTCAAGAATATTAATATCGTTAAGAGATCCCAACATGCCAAAGAAAGCATGCAAAATTCACAAATCATAAGAGGCGACTGTCGCGAGTACAATTGACAGTTAGTACACATGTCTAATGTAAGCACAATGATGGGCGGTTATATAATTCTCCCAATGCTAGTGCATATAATCCAAACTCTCTAACATTCCAGGAAATCCACGTTGCTCTTCCTCTTGCAATAATCTGGATATGTCTGCCTCATTTGGGATCTTGAACATATGCATTCATAAATAGAAACGATCGTTCTGCAAAATGTTTTCATGGACTCAATTGCAGTGTTTTTGCCGATTCTCACATACACATCCACAGCATCAGCGGGAATGCTGTATTGAAGGATCCGAAGTGCAGAAATCATCTTCTGTACATCGGATAAACCAAGAACACTAGCGGCATCATTTTTTGGGATGAAGTAGTCATTACATTGTTAAATATCATTTTAGATACTAACAAATAATTGATCGATTCATTCGAAAATGTCTTCGAAAGATGTCTATTGAGTAGGCAGGATCATTTGCAAATTAATCTCTATGTATTTGTTCATCGCCCCTGATCTTGTCACGATTGATGTGTCGTCAATTACTTGTGAAACCAACGTGTTTGGTTTGCTTATTGCGCTTGATTTCAGACTCCACTATTAACAATTGCATCATCATTATATCTTCATCAGATGATGAAGATTCATCAAATTCTTCACTAAAAATTGCCTTCTTGAAATTGTTCATGGTAGTAGTATAGATAATATGGCAGTGTAGAATATATGAAATTTGTATTATAATTTATAGAGGAAATTGTTCAATGATAAATGGTTGTTCGTGGTTAAATAATGAGTGAGAATAGTAAGTATTTATGGTAGATGGATGGTGGGTGAGAATTGTAGGTATGTCTTCAAGAATGGTGGGTAGATAAATGGTGTTGAGAATGGTAAGTCTTCAAGAATGGTGGGTAGGTGGATGGTGGGTCAGAATTGTAAGTACGTTTTCAAGAATGGTGGGTAGATGGATGGTGAGCGAGTATGGTACTAGGTCTTCAAGAATGGTGGATAGATAGATAGTGAGTGAGAATGGTGGATGGTGGGTTAGAATTGTAGGTATGTCTTCAAGAATAGTTGGTAGATATGGATAGTAGTAATATTTTTTGTAGGTATGACTTCAATTTTTAAATATAGAAAATATATATATATTTTCAATTTTGTAGTGGCATGTGAATGGTGAATGTAATTTTTTTTTTTCAAATTTTTTAATGTTTTTTTATTTGTCTAGTTTTGTAGAATGTGAACATATAATTTTTTTTTTTGAAAAATGTTTTGAAAAGATCACAAAAGACGAAAAAAAATAAACAAAAAAATCACTGAAAAAACTAAAATCGAACACCACTTAAGAAAAAGGAGGGAAAGTTGGTTGGCATTGTGTCAAAATGACATGTCATCATTGTGGTGTCATTGTTATAATTTGGCATTTTGCTATTGTAGCATGCCAAACTATAACTTTGGCAATGCTAAAAGAGTTATCAACATTGGACATGCTCTTATGAATTTTGTTGAGATTGTTTGCAAATCAATCGATGTTTTGCTTGTTGGGTGTTTTACTTGTTGGGTTTTTGCCAGGAGAGTTCATCGCAGTTGGGATGATGATATGGTAGCTTTTGCATTCCAAAACTTGTGCTAAATTTGGCACAAGCTTTGGCATTGCTATAATTTGGCAGCCATTATGGCATGACATTGGAGATGTGTTTTTTGCAACTCTTGCCAAATTTTGGCTTTAGTCGCTCCAATGGCAAACCATTGGAGATGCTCTTAGGTTTGCAAATATGCTTTTGCATATTGACGAAATGCCTTGTGATAGACGATAAATTCGGCATTTCCAATATAAAACTCATTTCTTCCAATCATTACGATAAAATTACTAGTGCTGTACTCAGCATCTATTTGTTTCTTTTATACACTTTCTTGTATAAATAAAAACGAGAAATTACATTGTTACTACCTACCTTGTACAAGCTGCATCTTTTCTTTATGAGAATCCAAAATTCAAGAATCCATGTCCAAACACAATTGAAATCTTATAATGTCTATCAACCTTTGTCAAGGTCCTTTCGTGTTGTATGCATTTATATGCTTGAATGGGATGAGCATCGTGGTCCCTGAGGGATGTAAAACCTTAATGTGGTTCAAATCGTAAGTGTATATATGTATATAAAATGTAAATATATATATTTGGATGAACATTTTGCCTTTCTGGATTTCTCATTCTTCTTGTTTTGTTTCATTTTTTTCTCGCCTTATTTTTTATTTTGAGAACGTTTATTGGAAAGTGATATCTTCTACTGGTCCTCTAATTAGTAATTCTACTTTGAGGTTGTAAATTTCTGTGATGGCTGTCAGTTTTAGTAGTGCTGTCTACCTTATCATGTCACAAATGTTGCCTATACCAGTTTATAGTGAATTAAGCATGCCAATTATTTTGCAAAATTAAAGGATTAGAAATGATATCCAAATAAGGATTTTATTAGGGAAATGCTAAAAGGTGTACATCGTACGAAAAGTAACGATTTTTGTTAGGGGTGAGCATGGTTTGGTTTGGTTCGGTTTAGTAGTAAACCAAGGACCAAACCACTACCTGTGGTTCCAAGAAATTTGGAACCAAAGCAAATCATGAAAATCTTGGAACCAAACTAGACTGAACTAGTAAAACACGGTTCAATTTGCTTTAAATTCATGGTTTTTAGAAACCTTATCATCATTCACAACATGATCACAAAATATTGCTCACAACTTTCTCAAATGTCAAGCAATGTACAATCATTTTACAAACAAGATTCATCTAGATAATTATTTACAAGTAGTTCTACTACTATGCAAGAACACGCTTGAGTGTCTACAGTAAGTAACAAATTATATATACGAAAGTAAGATACTAATTAGGTCCTTGAGTGTCTACAGTAAGTAACAAATTATATATATGTGTGTGTGTATCTGAACAGTCCGGTCAGTTCCAAATATGAATCATAACTATAAAACCACTAACCGAACCGTAAAGTTCCATGAAGTATGGTTCATTTATTTTAAGAATCAAGACTAAATTGTGCATTGAAAAAACCAAACCAAACTATGTAGTTTTGTATAAATTGGACCGGTTAGCAAATTTTTTGGTTTTTTTGCTCAACCCTAATTTTTGTGGTGAGAGTTATGAATAGCGAAATTATGGCATGCACCCCTAAAATTATGAATGGAAAAGTTTTTTTGGTAAAAGTTATTTACTTTTTTGTGATGGGCAAAAAATATACTTTCTGTGGTAAAATCTATACTTTTTGTATAAGGTGCATACCATATGCACCTAAGAAGCACGGATAAGGACACGTGATATGACACGGCACGACACGGACATGCAGACACGTAAATTTTCAAAAAATACAGGACCCGACACATTGGGCACACATGCAAAAAATATAATTTTATATATTTATTATGTCATATTTTTTAATGTTTAATATGTATTTTATGTCCAATACTTAATTTTATCAAATTTATCAACTTTATGTATGTTATTGTAGTAAAAAATTAAAAATTTTAATTTTTTTTTGAAAAAAATAGTCCTCAGTGTGTCCCTACATGTCCGCAGCGTATCCCAAGTGTCCCAGCGTGTCCGGCATGTGTCCGTGTACAACATGTGTCGGACACTCGTACGTGACCTCCAGAGAGGTGTCTGTGCTTCATAGATATGCACCATATGGCAACCTTTCTCATTTTATTAATATCAGGAAAGATGTTTTCAAAGGGTAATTTTTGTCACTGAAGAAATGATTTTTTAGCAAGAAGTGATTGGGCACAAGAGAGAATAACTTCAAGTAGAGCATCTTGCCTTGGATTAACAGAGAATGGCTATGATTTTTATTTTTATTTTTTATAGAATATTTTCATATTTACTAGAGGACTTCATATTATTGTATACAATGTATACAATTCTGCAACCTACATTGGTTTATCTGATGCAATAAACAATTTATGTTGCAGAATTTCATTTTATGGGAAGGTGTTTGATCACATCTTCCATCATGAAACAATGTTTAGTTTTCAAATTATAAGAGACTTTGATTCTTTTATGCTTCTTTACACTTAAATCTTTTGCTTCATGCCTTCATTCCAAGCTATTTCAACCTAAATTAGCTGAATCACTTGAAAACTTGTTTTAAATATATTCTTCAGAAGTATTTAATTTCCATATTTTCTTTCCTTTCCTTCCTCAATCATGTACAAAAAGGCTGTAACTGACGATGTCTTCTGTTGGCCTTCATAATCCCCATATTTCTCCAAAGAGAATTTAGTAAATTATGCTGGCAATACCACAAAATTTCTTCGATAAAGGAGGGTGATGTAGTTGGAATTAGTATAGTTCTTTTGTTTTAGTACCATAAGAGTTAATTAAAGTTAGTTGGGTCTTTTATCCTATAAATAGGTGGTTAGGCCCCTCTAGTATTCAGTTTATGATATTTTAAGATTGTATTTTTAGAGCTTGAGAGCTCTTATATCCATTTTGGGATTTTCTTTCTAATGAAATCCATTTCTTGATTTGGCTCCATTAGAGGGTACCAACAAAAAATTGTCGAAGGTATAAAGGTGTGTTTGTGATTTCATTTCCTTTGAAAAATCTAGGGGTGGTTTCAACCTGTAAAATATATTCTTGGGCTTCAGTTTTGGCTTGTCACTGTGAGCTGACAAAATTGGCGAAGTAGACATGCAAGTTTATGTAAAGCAAAATTAAACTTAATCTACAAAATGTGAAGTGACAGGCATCCAAACTTGGCTGTTACTGACTTCTGTGTATTTTCGAACCAGGTGCTGGGTTTTATCTCAATGCCACACAAGAGAAGTGGAAGAATTGGCGGATGTATGATTATGTTGTCAAGGAACTGCCAAAACTTCTGAGTGAAAACTTCCCACAACTTGATACATCTCGGGCATCTATATTTGGTCATTCTATGGGTGGACATGGAGCTCTGACAATCTACTTGAAAAACTTGGACAAGTACAAGGTAATTTTTATGTCGTACTAACTCCTTTTCTCCCCCACCCAATGTTTTAGAAGGGTCTAGGCGCACCGAGGCGATAAGGTCTCCTATAGCCTAAGCGCGAGGTGAAGCTCGCTCCTCACCAAAGTGAAGCTCAAGTGAAGCTCAAGTAGTAGAAGAAAAGCAAAATTATAAAATAGGCAAAATTTTCAACATAACAAATATATATAATATTTAAAAAATCATAACCATTTTCGATAATCTCTAAACATAACATTCAACCTTCTAAAAATTAGAATTATAATATCCAACAAAAGATATAAAGCATAACATTCAATCTTTTGTCACTTTCTGCTCTCTTTTGACTATATTTGGTTATTTTATATTGAAGAGTTTTGAATCCCTATGGGTATGTCCACAAAAAAAGCACTTAATCAACAATTAGAGTAGAAAAATAGGTAAAGCCCATGAAACCCACTCCTTTCGCCTTGAAAAAAAGGCCTCGCCTAAGTTGTCCCTTGCCTCGACCTGTTCGAAGCGCAAGGCTGCGCCTCATTGCACCTCTTGCTTAGGCCTAAGCACGCCTTTTAAAACACTGGGTGAAATCAAAGGTTTTGCAATTTTCTTATTCCCAAAAAAGAAAAGGAAAAAGAAAAATGGCTTTCCAATGAACTTATTTAAGGCAAAAGAAAAAAAGAGTGTTTTCAATAAAAGTTTCAGTATTATAACAGTAAACATAGACTTAGAAATTTAAATTTTTCATTTCCATCTTGTCCTGTGTAGATCATGGTCTTAACTGCACTTCTTATGGACAATTTGAGCTCTATGCTATCAGAGTTTGAATTTCAATTGTTAAATTTTAGTGCTTTATTCCTTTTAACTATTTTCTTTTTGCACCTTTTGTCCAGTCGGTGTCAGCCTTTGCACCTGTAGTCAATCCTATTAACTGTCCTTGGGGCCAGAAGGCTTTCACTAACTATTTGGGTGGAAATAAAGCTGAATGGGAGGTAAAATCATTAGGTGAATAAGGCCCATTTAATTTAAGTTGAACACTTGTATGTGACCATTAAATTTTATGCAGGGGTATGATGCCACTTGCCTGATAACAAAGTGCAATGATGTTCGTGCTACAATTCTAATTGATCAAGTAAGAGCTCAATGTCTTCCATTTATATGTTTCTCATGGAATTGGATCTTGGCCATGCCAAAACTTATAATGCTAGAATTAATTTCTTTAATTTATTTCATATATTGTATTGAGTTGTGCTTTAGATTTATGGGCCTTGTTTGATTTGCTTTTGGTAGAGTAATTCTGGAGAAAATTTGTTTGGTTTAGTGATTTTGGAAAAAAAATTTCAAAAATCACTTTCTCCCCTACACATCAATCAATCACTTTTTTTTTTTTTTTTCTCCTCTCTCCTCTCTCCTCTTTCCTTCTCAATCACTTTTTCTCTCACACACATCTACTCAACTACAACAAAATATTAAATCATCTCAAACTCTCATGCTCTAAAACTATTTCCAAAATATACAACCAAACAAACCAAAAAAATTTTTAAACTCTCTCCTCAAATTTTTTTTTGGAAATTTGTCTCCCAAAACAAAACCAAACGCACTCATGATGTTTTCAAAGTTACTTTGGCAGCCAAAATCTTTGTTCATAGTTTATTTCTTTTAATAAGATCTCTATGTAGAGTAATAAGCTAGTTATTCGCCCTTCAAAAATAAAAGAAAACAACCTTTGCATGGGGTTGTAATCAAAATCATGTTGGTTGTTTATGCCTTGTTACTTGTGAATCAGGGAAGATTGTGTTATTTGTTTCTCAAATTTTCTATGGCTATTTGAGGAGAATGATGTAAAATTGATGGTTTGTGGAGTCTGGACTTGACATTGTGAGAAGACCTCTTTTTATATCTTTAAGAATTGGAAGAGAAGAAAGAGTCAATGCTGCTAGTGCTAGGTGATTGGTGGTGAAAATTTATTATGGGGTTTAAATATTACTTGGTTGATTCATGGATGCACATCTTTTGATGATATTCCTTATCATGTACCGTGTCGGACGGATGTGTTGATACTTCTTATGTTTTAGATCATGATTACAAAATAGAACCTCATTATTAGTACAACACAAACACAAACACATACTCTTTCTCCCTAAATCTTCCCCCTGGGCCTCACCGTTGGCTGGTCAGTCGCCGCCTTGGCCATGGTGGTTGGCTGGCGTCGTTTTCTTTTTGTTTTTGCTTTTACATTTTTTATTAATAAGCTTGAACGCTATTGTTTTCCAATCTTCTTCTCATTTTCGGTGGTGTTTGTTGCTCGAATATGGGCACTTCTTTGGGAGTCGTTAGGCCATGGAGGGGTGGCGTTTTGGCCTTGGCTGTTGTTTGGGGGTCTTTTGGGTGGTCCCATTGTTGGTTGGGGTGGTCAGTGGCTGTTTCTAGTTGGGTGTTGTTTGGGTGTAGTTGGGGGCTTTAAGGGACAGAAGAATGGAATTTTTGCGGTTGGTGGTCGGCCATGGATGGACAGGGTTCGGCTTTGGTAGGTGTTCGGCCATGGGGTGTTTCTTGGGGGTCACCAACTTGGGAGATGATGCTATGGATGGAGGTGTTTCAGCCATGGAAGTGGTGTTCGGCCATGGGTGGAGGTGTTAGGCTATGGAAGGAGTTTAAGTGTTCAGTAGGTGTTTGGCCATGGAGGGAGTTTAGTGTTCAGCCAAAGAGCTAACAGTCATCGGTAGAGCAAACAGGCATGCCTTTTTTCATCAGTAGGTGTTTGGCTATGGAAGGAGTTTAGTGTTCGGCCATGGACGAGTTAGTGTTTTGGCCAAAGAGTTTCATTTCAGCTTCGGCCAAGGGAGTTTCAGTCTCAGCTTCAGCCTGGGACATGGGAGCTTTGGCAAGAGAAGGGGTTTTCAGCCAATGTTGTATTTCGGCCAACAGTGTGATCGGCGCCGGCGGTGTCCTGGTTCGGCGTGGTAATGGGGGCACGGGTGACAAGATGTGTGGGAGCAGTGCTGTACTTCGGGAAATGTGGAAACAGGCATGGGAGACAAATGAAGGGATTTGTTGGGTTTCATAGCTTTGGGTTACAATCTACCTAACTTTTTTTGTTTTGTATCTTTTGTTTTTGCTTATTTTTAAATAAAAAATTGTGAGGCCGAGGGGTTGGTTGTGTGCATGTGAGCAGTAGTAGTTGAGTAGATTATACTTTCCGAATCTCTCTCGATGCATTTTATCTTCTTGTACCTCTAATTTCTTGTCTTTCATGAGATTTTCACTTTGCTGATCAAAAAATATGGAATTATGGCTCTGTTTACAAAGAGTGAACGGTCGGCCTTGTAGGATCAGATAAAGCCATCTTTGAGGAGTAAGGCCTAAATGAGAGGAGCACTTTTTGTTCTCCTCTTCAAGCAGATAGAAGAATCTGAGAGCTTAGTGATAAAAGGTATCGGACAAAGCTTAGTGCTTACATGTGTGGCCTTTGATAGAGCAAAATGACAAAAAAGATTCATACAACCAACCCCATCTGATTAGGACACAAGACTTAATTTGGTTTGATTTGGTATATATAGATATATCTTATCCAGTTCTAAAGTTTTTCTGGTGCTCCACCATGCATTGTTTCAGATCCAACACATCCATGGATTTTTGCCTTCCTAATTTAATCTTTTATTTGTGTAGGGAGAGGATGACAAATTCTTGCAGGATCAATTGATGCCACACAAGTTTGAGGAGGCATGCAGGAAGGCCAATGTGCCGCTCCTCATGCGGATGCAGCCTGGTTACGATCACTCCTACTATTTCATTGCTACCTTTGTCGAGGACCACATCCGCCACCATGCTCAAGCCCTTAACCTGTAATTCCTCCAAGCTTGTGTTTTGTTGAGAGAGTTTCAAACACTATTACTGAATTGTGACTCTTTATTAGGTACTTTCACTATTTTATCTCTGGAAAAGGTACAAATAGAATATGTGGACTATAAAATATGGTGCTGCTTGAGCTTTTGAGGTAATGTAATAAATGCGAATGAATATGGTTTGTTGTTGTGTCCTGTTTATTTTATACTAGTTGGACCCCCATGAGCATCGCGTGTGGGGTCGCGCTGTTGTTGACTGAGAATAAGATTCAATACTATGTATAGTATTATTAAGGTGCCTCTAGATAGTTTTAAGGTTGTAATATCAATCAACAAATAGACTTAATTAGATAGTTTTAAGGTCGTAATATCAATCAACAAATAGGCCTGATTAGTTTGGGAGCCTTGAATTCAAATTAGGTGTCATCTCAATGTAGGGGGAAAAAAAAAAATAAAAAATTGTAAATCAAAAAATCACATATTAGACTGTCTTGTTTGACATATGGCTTAACCATAAAAAGATGTAACTTTGTTTGAGCATTGTTGTTCATTGCTTGTTTGCTTGAGTGATTAGGTTGAATGGGTATAATCAGAGCAATTGCTAATTTTTCATTGTGTTAACTACCAAAAAAACATTAGAACCAAATAAATATGGCCAATACATATTCACCTTGCCTATGTTTGATTTGATTTTTAAAAGCTTTTTTAATTTTTTTTAAACTAAAGAATAATTTGATAAAATAAATAAAAAATCAAAAATACTTATCACTTTTATATGATTTTATCTTTTGGGAAGTCAAAATTAATTTTTTAAAATAGTTTTTTATATTTATTTTTATCAAATTAGTTTCAATTTTTTTAATAATAATATATATATAAATATATTTTTTCCCCCCTGAAAACAAGCCAAACCATCTCTTATTTACAAAATATCTCAATTAAAAACCAAGTATCTAGACAAACGTGCATCCAATAATGGTAACTTTGGTAGAAAGACATGGTAGTTTTTGGTTGGCTAAGCCAATAGGTATACTCAACACATCAACTTATGCTTAGCCCTTTATATAATTCACAGTAGAATGGGACCTTTGAGTCCAGAGAATAATTGGAGGACCAAACCGTTTATAAGATTATTATTTGGGATTTATTAGTGTTTTACTATTTAAAAAATATATAATTAGTTCTATATTTTTTATTATATTAATCTCTCTCAAAGTTTAATTCAAATAACACTTGTGTCTTTTCTTTTTTTTTTTAATTAATAATTTGTTAACTATATGAATGAAAAAAATGATATGAGCATCTCTTCAATATTAAAATGTATATTTATATCTTTTTTTATTTTAGTGTCTATTTACCATTGACTTAGTTTCAATTACTTTAATCATACTAAAAAGGTAGTGTAATTATGTCAAAATTGTGGGACTAATTATATTTTTTCTTCAAATTTCAAGGAAAGTGACTGTAATTTACCCCTTTTTTTTTTTATGTATATTCAATATATTATATATACAATTTGAATTTCAAGTTGCTAATTTATATTGAATTTCTGGATTTTTTTTTCCAAATCCTGTATTGAATTTATTGAACAGGGTTAGAGCTAAGAACCTTAAATGGTATCAGAGCCAAGTTTATTATCATTGGTATTATTATTATTATATTCTATTTAAATTATGCATATATGGTCATAGTACATTCATTATGTCTTCCATCGAACCTTCAGATATAACAATAGTAGCCAATACAGTAGTTTCTACACCAGGAGCAGCAGAGCTCGTTATATATCAGGATGTCAAGGAAGCCCTAGATAAATGGACTATCCCAAATGTACAACCAAATACAATTTGTAAAATTGGAACATTTGATTTTTCCAGCAGAAAGATAATAAAGACATTTGAATATGCAGTTCCCCTACAGAATAATGATGAAATAACTAAACTACTTCATGTTCAGGACTCAACACCTTTTTTCAAGAAATATAAATATATCCATATAGGATTAGTACATATAGCTTTTAAACCTTTCACCTTATTAGGGCAAAATACCAGTATTCAATGTACCCTACGAGATAGTAGATGTCTTGATTGGAAATCTTCTCTTATAGGAGCTATTGAAACCAGTTTATCACATGGACCGGTATATTTTAACATTTATCCTAACCTGAGTGTAGCACTCATGGATCCAAATTTATCAGAAGTATTAGTACTACGAGTTCTTACCCATGGTTATCAGTATTTACCAGGAACACCTCATTTATTTGCAATTTTTAGAATCCACTTAAAGGTTCTCACAACCTTAAATCCTTATACCCAAAAACAAAGTGAATTAAGACATACTGTCCTAATTGACACTTGTAGACGTCCCCCGAACGCCCCGGGAGGATGAGTCCCGTTCTGTTCATTTGGGCTCACTACAAGTTCGGACTCTCAAATTGTCATGGTTCTTAATCAGAACCAAAGAGTCCAAATCCGGCAAATCGTTTTGAGAAAACAGATTTTTTGAAAGAAGTGCCAAACATGGACTGCTTTGCCAGATACAGAGTCGCCACCTAAATGTTTTATTTTGGGGAAATTTAGGAAACCCTGACTCGTTGCCTAAGGCCACGTGTCCGTCATCACCAAAGTTGCCTCGGCTCGGGAACTTGGGTACGATTGGGGAAGGTCAAGTCCGAACTGTAGCGAGGCCCACGGCTTCGTGAGCACCCCGCTCTCCCGATCAAAGATCGGCCTCTACTAACCATGATATCTAGTTTTGAAAACATTATGCGTTCTTATTCCGGTTATTAGCCTAGATTTACTATGTGATGCGCACATCATACAAGTATAGACTGGGTCGCCTGAATTGGAACAAAACATTTCATGTTTATTTGTTTGAGAGATGGTTTGATGGCGCTACCCGCAAGTAGACTAAGACGTGGATTTGCCACCCTCGGGTGGGCTTAGAAAAACATGATTTTGCCACTATCTAATGGGCTTAAAACTCACAGTCAATGCATTTATTCCAATTCAAATAATCCAATCTTCACCCACAAGCATTCAGGCAGTTATGTCACATAGCTTAGCCTCATGGTAAGCATGCTATCATGGCAGTCACTCACACACATGCAAAGACGCTAAAGCATAAAACTTACCGAGTACTCCAAGCCAAAACAGAAGCTAATTAGAAATCCATGCATGATCCTAACTATACAGAAATGCCTAATGCAACACATGCAAGATGCAACTAAGATAGGCTCGGTTATTCTAAACATGGCATATGATGATGCTACAGCTAACACGTATTCAATTTGAAATTGAAATACAAATGCAGTTAGTATGGTGCGTCGAGCCTAGTGCATGCAATACAGATGAATGAATGCAACATGCTACCATACTGTATGCTAATTGAAACATGCCCTAATCTAACCATCATAAGCTGATAAATAAAAGGGAGAAAGACGTGGGGTTGGAAGACATACATCACACACACGCACACTTATTACAGTTGTGCCCTCGCGCAGAGGGTCCGAAAGAATAATACAGTCCCAAATGAATAAATAATACAGTCCCGAATAAATACAAAATCCTAATTAAAAACAACACATTAATCTAGGAAAGCAATAAATTGCACGCAAATCCGTGGACCGCCTCAGATGATGAATGATGCATGCTTGAATTTGCCTGCGCGGAAATCCCTTGCGATGCCCTGGTTTGCCTCTGCTTGTAATTTTTCTTGGAATGCGTGCCAAGCTCCGGAAGGCTGCTAATTTCTAATTTGCTGCAACAGAGAGCAACAAAGGGGCATAGCAAAGTATTTTCACATATGTATACATGACTACTCTTCGGGGAGTGTAGTCCTCGATCCTCGTGCCACCAATCACGCATCTCGATGCATGATGGCCAAGGAGTCGATTTGCACGACTCAATATGAAATGAATGCACATATGGACACAACAAGGCCGAGACTCCATCATGGGTAATCCGGAGTGTCGATGACCGGGAATTGAGACACGTTCCGTCACTCGGAGTACGAAACGTCCCTCGTTTCCCGTGCTTGGGCTAACTCCTATCCCAAGCGCAATGCAATATGCATGACATGCATGAATGCAATCCTAACATGCAACCTAACATACGCAATGCTATGAAATGGCACACACAATGCACGATGTAACGAGGCATACGCAATGCTCTAACATACAACCTAGCATACACAATGTTGCGAAATGAAATGGCATACACAATGCATAATGGACTTACACTAACATGAGTGGACCTCAGCCACACTCACATTAGTAGCCATTAGGTGAAAATGAGACTCTCGAAATGCGTGCACGCATGCGCGCAAACCGAGGACTAAGCCTAATGCATCGAGTGCCACTCTACCAAAGCATGGCAAGGCATGGAACATGGTATGCAAACATGCAAATTTCAGCACTGAAATATGATGCTAAACAGTCCCGAAACATGGAAAAATGGCACCCGATGCATGAGATGACCCCGAAACTCGAAACTAGGCACATGGAATGACTTACAGCTATACAAAGCATGCATTATTTGATCATGAAGTATAAAGACAGAGCCAAGGCAGTCCCAAAACATGAAGATTTATAGTTCAAAGCATGGCCAAAAAGTGCTAGCAAGATGGACTAAAGTAGCATGCAACTTTGACTAGCAAACATAGTTTACATGGCAAGTGTGTGAAGCATATGGAATCTCACCAAACCAGCAAAAATTAGTGAACAAAACATGTGAAAATAGGCCCAAATAACCACTGAAATGAAGCCAACACATGCAAAAATGATGAGTTACTTTAGAGGGCCATGCAATGAGTCATTAAGCACATGCAAGATAGACATGGCATGGCTATAAACAACTATGAAAATCAAATATGGTAGTCCCAAAACCCACCAAATTGACCCTAGAAAGTGACTCCAAAGCATGCAAGATAGGGTCTCTTTGGAAGGCCAAAATGACCACCAAATAAGTCAAGGTGAGAGGGGGTCACTCCCCTCTGATTTGGAAGCTCAAAATAGTGTCTTAGCCACTGAAAATCCACTGAATTTCAGTGGCTAGAAGGCCAAACAAAGCATGCAACAAGGGCTTAGGTGTAAGGCTCAAAATAGGAGACAATCAAGCATACAAGGAAGCATATGACCTCAAACAAAAATTGAACCTTAAACAAACTTGAAGATGAGATTAAAACAAGATATTTTTCAGTTTATGACAACTCTAAAAAACAACAAAAGTAGGGCTAATCTATCATGCAAAAATGGCCCTAA